TTTTCATCTCCACAGCTTCATCATTTCTGTGAAACATTACAGCACAAAGACCCTGAATTGTTAAAAATGATAAATGATACATTTATGCTAGATTTTAGTTTTGTAAAGAATATAGAGGACGAAGACCAGGCTCATTAGCACGGCTGAATTCTTGCTACAAGCAGTTACTAACCCACAGTTAGTGGTATTGTGGGATTTACTGTGATAGGTCCCTGAAGCTCCACAAAGCTGCTTGACATCAAATTAGATAATGAGATACATTTTTTGCTTGATTCAGCTTATGTTGCCTCGTGTGATCTACTGCAACAAACAGGCAGGTTTAGCAGCTGCACCGAGAAGAAGAGGTTGTGTGAAGTTGTGTGAAGTTGTGTTACAGATGATTTACAGTTGCTCAGAATGTAGTAATAAAAAAATAACTGATTTTCCCCACAATACCCACTTTGTGTAGCTGAAGAATTATAACATCTACACGCTGTACAGACTTCATAAAAGCCAAGTGGAATGTGCAGGAAGATTTCTGTATTCAATACCTAACTTTTAAGAAACAACGGTGTCTGCGTCAAATCAATGCAAACTTGCAAAATAATTATTTCAAGTTAAAGAAATTTACCCTATAGGTCCTGGGTGTAGCTTGTGGATGTTATAAATGGGGACAATTTGTAGATCTAGATAGAATAGGAGTAACTAAAAATTCATTAACAAAACTTTTTAATAACGCACTAATTTTAACAAAAAGACATGAAAGTCATTAGTTTTACTTTTCAAATGTAAGATTATGGCTCAGTGTGAAAGATACATCCAGAGACTGATCTCAGAAAGGAGGGAAAACAGTGATGAGCATTGTTTTCTAAAGGATTCATCAAAAAATGTGAATAAATAAATAAATTACATGATAATGACGTCATCTGAACAGTTTTGGTGATTTTGATTAAACCTGTGAGCTCAAAATCTGCTGGGAGAAATATCATGTATCTTGAATCAGACTTTGGTTCTGTAATGTTTGAAATCAGAAATAAATGCAGCTGCAGAAATCTTGAACATCAGTAATGCTAAGCAGTATTGTACTGGGATCTGTCTTCCAATTTACAATCCTTGATCTATATTCTGCAATTCTATTTTAATAGGTCTTCACATACTATTTGAATATAATCACTTCTGTGAAACAACGCACGTTACATTTCCCACACAACCACCAAAAATGTAAATGCAAAAATAGGAACATTAAGACACACATCATTACAAAAAAAAAAAAGGAAAAATAAACAAAACTTCAAGTACTTTCAATGAAGTAAAAGTCCACCTGGCAATTTGAAAATAATCAAAATATACACAACTCTGCTCCTGTCTCTGCCAGCCTTTCTTCTTCTCTTATCTCCTCAGGCTGTTCAGTGGGTGACTCTCACCAACTGCATTTTATAAACCTGAAAACCAACCAAACCCAACCAAATTATATATATTTATATGTATATGTATATATGTGCTGTCCTATAAGTGTGTGTGTGTGTGTATATATATACAAAAAAAAACAAAAATCTGAAATAAAACAAAAGACCTGGCTCAATAAATGGTTCTCACAGTTTCTACAGGTCTCTGTGCGTGGCCCAGATTGTGGCGAAGGCAGGACAGGCGTGTGTTGACCCTCCATCTCTGTGGGAAAAAAGGCTGATTTTTAATCCATCCAAATATATCTCGTCTGGTTGGATGTTTCAGACAGGAGAGGAGAGAAAGCCGATGTTGCGGCACCCAACAGTGGCACGAAAGCAAATGCCCAAATATGTGTGACCCTCCCCAGGTGCTTCCCAACCCCTGAAACGGGTTGCATGGGTGATTACGTGCGCACACAGCTACAATGTTGAAGACTGTCTACGAGGGATGTTCTTTCAGGACTTGTCAGAAGCACGACTAGCCCTCTTCTCCTCTTCATCACCGTCTCCTGTACTGACTCCAAAGAAGGCCTGTGGCATTGGTCTACGAGTGTGATTTGAGGCTAGCTTGACTCTACATTTTCCTGATCCTGCTGAGGTTTTCCAGATGTCCGTCCTGTTCCCAGTTTGTCCCGACCTCGTGACCTCAGGGCTCCTGTTTGATGTAGTAGCTGCCTGAGCCGTTGCTCTCCTGGTCGGATGTGCCCTGTGAGAAGGTGAACTCGTCCACCTCTGCTGCCTCCTCCTTCATGCGCAGGAGAGACTCTACAGATGGCACAAACACAGATAAGAGAGAGAGAACAGCAGCACAGATGAGCCACGTGTGTTCATGCACTGTCAGAAAAGCACAGGAGGCGCCCGTCTGTCTTTGCTCCGGGTGTTAGCGAGAACTCCACATGCATGAGGACGTATCGTATGAATCACACATGCCTGATGACTGCTTCAAAGTGGAGACAAAACACTAGTAATGCCCACGGTAACTCCACTCTGGGTCTTTGCTGACATGAGGAAACGTGACAATGAGAATGAATAGAAACAAAGGTTGATCGGACAGTAGAACATGCAGCATCGGCAGCATCCAGCTCCACAGCGAGGCCTGTCAGAGGCCTCTCTCCTGTTAAAACCCAGCTGAGCCTCCGAATGCGCACTGCTGAGCTGGTTTTATCTTAATGTGACGTTACCTGATTTGTGGGTTTGGTGGAGGTGGGTTCGGGGCCGGGGCCGAGCTGGCCCCTGGGCAGGGTAAGGGGGCGGACTCTGCTCTTCGTCCCCTGAGAAGCTGCTCCTCCTCCTGCCTGCCTGACTGAAGGGCCGTCGACCAACCGGAATCTTCCTCTCTAAACACCAAGTCAGACTCAGGTAAGCTACCAGGGGCTTATTGCACACAGAGTCAATTCATCTGGAGCTCGGTTTCAGTGTTCAGATTACGTATTAGGAAGAAAGTCAAACAGGTTAAAGTTGAAATCTTAAATTTATCCTCAAACTGTTGTCACTTGATATGCTCATCTGATTAAGCCCCTGGTAAGCTGTACTCGGACTGCTACACCCCGGTAAGCAGAGGCACCGTTAGCTACCAAGAGCAAAGCTGCAGCAAAGTGTGGAAGACTGTGGCTGCCAATATTTAAAGTCAATCATTTAAGAAAATGTAATTGTTCCACTTACCATTTTAAATAGGTATGACAAAACTTGTATTTTGAAATTGAGTTTATGATTTGATGTATGAAATTCACAACTATCAAACTTATATAAACTGGAAAGTAAAATGTAAGCAGTACTACTGCCACAATAAAACAAGGATTGAAGAATACATATGCAGGTGCTTTTAAAAAAACAAGCTAAAAGTCAAGATATATTTACATTAATACATTGTCTACCACCAAAAAAATAATAATACATTTCCCATGGATTTTCATGCAATGTTATGCTCTGGAGGACAGTTTTGCGTAATTTTAAAACATGGAAACTAGATTTTTTTCCTATTTTAATTTGCATTCTGTAATGCATCGTGCACACAAATGGAAAATACATTTGATTAAAGGATTTAGTTTTAATATTGGTGGCCACAGACTTCCACATTAAACTGCCGAAAATGTGTTCAGCACAGGGTGTTCAAATTAGCATTAATATCCCCTTCTTGTCTTTATTGATCTGAAACTGAGGGTGCAACACCAGGCCTTCTGCTCTCAAATACCTGCAGAAACACCATCTCAAAAACTACAAAGTCCAAGTGTGTTAACAAGTATCCCACTCAAAAAAGGGAGACAGATCTCTTCAAGCATCCGGCAGGGTGACAAAAGGGGTCCAATGACAATATTCCTGACACACCGAGCGGGTGACCAACAACAGAGCAGCAGCGATACCACCACAAGTGTAGCCAGTGACAGTAAGAATAACAGCGAAAGGAGAAGGTGGAGGAAAGAGCGGAGAAACACTTATTCACAGTCGATGAAGGATGACTCACTTTTCTTTTGGCCTTTGTACTGCTGGGCCTTTTTCTTCTGCTTGGGCACAGACTGAGGCATGTCTCTGTTACCTGAAAGGACAGCACGGGATGGTTGTGGACAGTGAGGTACATTGCATGAAAAACACATTGCGTCCTTCCTACAGCATTATGGTTTGAATTTAAGTAGCACAAGCTACTGTTAGGCTATGTCGGATCGTGTAAATACAGTTTCTCTATCAGTGTCATTACACAATTTTATGTTTCTGATGTCTATTACACTCAATTAATGAAGGTTGACTCACTTTTTAGTGCCACAGCAATCCCTGGCCTAATGCTAGATTACAGAAAGTAATTAGGATAAGCTCCAATCAAGCTACACTTTCAGCCATTTCTGTTCAGACTTATGTATCACATGTAGTGAAGACTAAAAGGGAATTTAATTAAAAGGTATTAAGTGTATTTTAACATAATAATAAGTACATGAATAGAGTTATAGGCTAAATGTCTATAACTAAGGAAAGGGCACAATGACATTAGACCACCAAAATCTAGACAGTACATTTTTGGTTCCAACTGAAAAAATTAAATTAAATTTAAGAAATCTCCTCAATGTATTCGTGACATATCGTATTAACAAGAATGTGAGCGACGGACATACAGAAGCCCTGTAGACATTTCCAATTCGCTCAGTATCCACCTAGTATACAGAAAATTAGCTGGCAGTAGTAAAGACATAAATGATAAAAAAAAAAGAAAACAAACAATGCATGATGTAAAGAGTATAAAGATGTACAATATTCAAGACACAGGAATATGTGAACACTAATATAGAGACATATTTGAGTAACCAAACTACATTCAAATGGTTTTCCATCCATATTCAAATGTTAAGCCCTCTTTAGACACGGAGTCTGTAACATTGCAGGCTTCATCAATATGTTAGTGATGGCTTTTTAGCATGAAAGCACACAGCAGGACTTTTAATAAAATATCAAACTAAATTAACACAACACAAATGCATCATGTTGGAAAAATATCCAACTTTAAAGATATTTAACTCTGATCTGCTCAAATAAATGAGCCTGTTTGCCTTTTAGTTGTGGAACCTTTCACAAGAACTTTTGCAAACAAACAGTTATGATGTCAGAAACCTATTATTTATTGAGAAGAAAAAAAAATTAAAGAACAACCCCTTGTTCCTCTCTAGCACTGTAGCCAGACTCATAGTCATAGATCTACAGAACCATCTATTCATTTATCTCTTCACAGTAATAATTTCATGAGCTTCATTACAAATAACATAACTATCTAACTAACAGCTCTAACCACCGACTTGCCAGACTGGCAAAGACACATTGTCCAGTGCAGGAACTGTCAGTCAATCAATCAAATTTTATTCGCACAGCCCATATTCACAAGTCACAACACAACTTTAGCACCCTCTTTATTTAGACTGTCTTTCTTCTACAGTATAGATCTGTCCGACGACTGGCTGACTTCACTGGTCTCTTATTCCAAACCATCAAATAGTCAATTCCTATTACAACCTGATTGTTGTAGGATGTTTTACCATATAGTGACACTTCCATATTAGATCTAATCTAGGTATCTTTGCTACAAGCTAAGCACAACAGGCTTTTAAGGTTGAAATAATTAATCCTCTGCTTTAAAAGCCTTCTCTTGACATGGGTGTTTTTGCAAACTATACTCTCATACCGCACCTCCCATTCATTAGTAAAATCCTCAAAAACTTAAGATATTGTACTTGAACTTAAACACATCAGAAATACATCATTTGATCATATAATCACACTGGATGGTATAACCTTGGTCTCTGGGTCTACCGAAATGAACCATGTAGTTATATTTGACCTGGACATGACCAGTGACTCACTCAACAGCCTTGTTGAATGCTGAGAAACTAGTCTAGCTCCCAGTTTGGGTTTCGATGCCTGACAACCTCTCCACATTTAATGTTGGAGGTAATAACATTTGTCTTCTATAAAGCTTATAGTTAGTGCTGGCTCAGGTACCATCTGAACCATCTCACTGCTACTCTACACCTAGACTGCTGAAGTGAACTCAAACTAAGCACTGAGCTCTCCATGTATTTATAACACTATTACACGTCAATACCTTGTGTGCCGTATCTCTTTATCTGCTGTCACTACAGGTTCATAAAGAAAGAGCAGAATTGGAGCTTTATTAGTGTTTTAAAAGCAAATCAACCACATGCATGAGTAATAACTAACAGAGTCAGACAACTTGTACTGTCAGTATCATGGAAAGTCTTTGGGATCGCTGTCACACACTTTTTAAAAGACGGGACAGCCAAAGTACACAGAGTAGTAAATAAGTAGTGAGCTGTTGATACCAGAGATGCCACTCCTTAGGCTACTGATTGCTTTTATTATATAATGTTCTTTCCTTAAAAGTTTATTACCAACATATGGAATCTACAGTTTTTGGAATTTATGTTAAAAATCACTATTGATCAAAACAAATTCAGCTATTCTTGCTCATGTCAGAGGAAATCTCTATTTCGATGATGAGATATCTCGTTTCTGAAGAAGATATTTTGGCCTCATGGTGGCGCTAGCGGATGGATCGGACGGTTGAAAAGTATTCTTACTCTGAGAAGCAGGGGGTTGGAGCTGGTAGCCTGTCAGCTGACACCAGCCCACAGGGTAGAGGTCAGGTGACTCGCAGTCCACCCACTGGTCATACTCGTCCTCCCAGCCGTCAAAGTGGATCCTCAGTAGCCGGTGCACTATTCTTGTCACTGTGGCAACGCACACCAGCCGCGGCTCCATCAGGTCAACAGCCTCTAGCTTCATGCCTTGTCGAAAACCATGATTGGGAACCTCCTGGAAAATGTGACGCAGCAAATTAAATTAAAAAGAGAAATATATTTGACTGACATATCCTGAATCCCATTATTTTACATCACTGTCATCACTAACTTAATAGCCAGAAACATAATACCAGACAACATTATTATATCTTTAACACAAATATGAAGGAGAAACCATAATCAAGTTTACCTTGTTAAAAAGCTTGACAGGAGCAGCTATTGATCCTGATTCTCTGAGGTAGTCAAACCATTTAAATGGTAGTTTAGTATACCCTGGGGAAGATAGTCGGCATTGAGACTGGAACATAATCCAAATGCACGAAGAAGCTACCAAACTACGTTTATTTAACAATTCATTTAACATAGGCTCCTCAAGGATGCAAATATCTATTTAGAGACAAACTTTGAGTTCTGTACCTCTAGGGGGCGTGAGTTCTATGTTGTTGATTTCACAGAAGCCGGCAGGAAAGATGGAAGGGGAGGCACCATGGTAACAGAACCAGTCTGATCCGTCAACTGCCTCCGAACCATCAATCCCGATCATGAGGTACCCGTCTGCCAAAACCTAAAACGGCAGAGAATGCATGAGGTGGGTCTGGAGCAGTTGAGTTATTTCAAATCAATTAAAAAGCAAATGTATCAGCAGCCCCTGATAATGATGTGCAGCATAGACACACACTAACCTTTCTTACAGTGGCTACACATATAGCTGAGAGATTGAGGGGGTCAATGGCTTCTAACTTCATCCCATCTCTGAACCAGTCCCCACTCTGGTCCACATCTTTTACCTGATATTCGCGTGCAGACAGAAAAAACAGAACCGATGGTTCATTAATTGCAATGAAATGGATTTATCAAACATTAGATATTACATATAAATACAGCTCATAATAATGAGTTGGACATACACCACTCAGATTCAACATTAAGACTGGTTGTTTTAATGATATGGCAGGTCAGTGTATTTTTGTCAAAGCACAAAGCCACTGGGAAAAGTTTTAAAATCACCAGTTGTAATATCAGAGTATTTACTACTTCAATGAAACACTTAATTCCAGAATGGAGATCAATGATTAATACTCCTGCAGCTTAAGGGGCTGAAGATGCTTTGTGAATAACTTACATCTTTACCAGGATCTAGTCGTAAGTGTAAAAGGAGTTTTCTGAGAATTTCATGACCAGGAGTAACTTTGGACAGTTCAGATAATGATAACAGAAATGTTTTATTTTGCTTTACCTTCTGGAAGAGCGGAGCAGGCGCATCAACTTGACCATCCGTTTTCTTAGTGATATCTGAAAAATGTATTGACAGATTAAAATGACTCCTCATGCCTGAGATGTTTCAGCAATGTACACACAAATAGAGCTTCACTAGCATGAAATGATGAGTGCAGCTCATGATGATTTTCATTTTTAGGAACAACAATGAAGTGATCTTTAGACATTTGTTGGCAAAGATACCGAATGCCACCATGCCACCTACAGCTTCTGTCATGTAATGGTTTATTTTTGTTGATCTACAAATCTTACGATCTTACAAATAGCAACAAACAACATGTATTATTAACAATAAATATTTCACATATACAGTACAGATCATAACTGTTTGGACTGCGTCTGATATTACTCACAAATCACTATATAGGCCAGTATATAGTCAATTTGATAGTATAGAAATTATGATGTAATAAAATGCTACTTGCTGGGCTAGAGGACAAAAATTATGATCATGACTGAAATGGGACAGAATCCATGTACCAAGAGACTCTTTCTTCTTGGCAGTATTTATAGAGAGATTCTTTTTTATTTGATGTTTTTTTCACATGATGTGGGTGCTGGGCCTATTTTCTGCAGACCCGTCTTGTGGCATTGTGTATTGTGTTCTCGAAAGCTAAGATGTGGCGCTTAACTTCAGTATCCATTATTATATTTAATATTAGAAGGGCCCTATGTTGGCATATATATATATATATATAAAAACACATTGCTGTAGAAATCATGCTAACTAACATAGGCACAAAAACATAACCTGCTTGGTGGAGGTATTAGATGCATTGAACCATAAAGCACAACAAATGTTTGACATCCCAAATACTTGTGGTCTTGACTATAATTTTCAACACCTTATAAATGCACCACCAGTAAAGGTGTTACTGGAACTTTCCGAACCCACCAGATCGTTTAAAGCGGTGTCCAATGCTTCGCGACCAGCCTATATTATGGATGAGAGGGCTGTACATGTGGCACCAGAAGTCATCAGATCCATCTTGGCTCTCTTCATAGACCAGCCGGAGGCGACCGCCGATGACCTGCTCCACCAGCGCCACCCGCGTCCGGCACAGGTAGTTCTTATCCACCACCTCCACCCGCATCAGCTTTTTAAAGGGGAACTGCGTGTTCTCATGTACCTACAGCGAAAAAAATTATACATGGATTTAACAAAGTACACATAGTCACAGTCCTTAAATTTTGCATCTCACAAGATGAGGCAACACTTAATATTACATCTAAAAATATCATCAAAGTAAGAGCTGTTTAATCAATATATAAAATCACCAAAAACAATGTCATTCAATTTATTAGGCATTAGTTTCTCTCACCTTGGTATTAAAGTCAGGTGGCAGTGTTTTAGCTCCCGTAAGACGCTTTACAAGAAAGGCTTTCCAGTTAGAGTATTTATGCTGTATGCCTGGAAGAGATAAAACAAATAACAGCCACAGTAGCATGAGCCATCCGGGAACTTGCATTCACGAAAAAGAAGGTAAAAGAAATTTGGCATGAGGCTCACTTTTTGGAGGTACAAGGGGTTTGCCACTGGAGGCGCACCATCCCACTGGGTGAACCTCAGGGATACAGAGATTACACCAGAAGTCCTTACTGGTATCGTTGTCAAAACCCTCATAGCGCAGGAGAGCCTTGAACCCTGCAGAAGGTTATAAGACACTGGTGAGTTTCTGCTGAATTTCAGCCCTGAAGCTGGGAACACTTTTACTGGTCTGGCTTGTTCTCGGCTTTCAAAAATACGTGAAGCCAAAGAACTGTAGATACAATGGTAATGAATGTGTGAAACTGTTAAGCCAACATGAATGAGTGTTCATGATATGTACAGTACCATTCAGTGAATCAGCAAGCAGTATTTAAGTCAGGTGGTGCAACATGGCTGTGACACTTCAGACGCTGTGCTATTCAAAAAGGATTGTTCGGCATAATTTTGGCTCTACGTCGTCTTTAAAGATGGATACTTTACACAAAGCTGAACAGTCCTGAGATTGTGTATTTTCAAGGGCAAAACAGAAGAGGAAATCTGACACTTTTCCACGTTATGTAAGAAGCAGTTAATCAAGATAATTGTTATTTTACAGTGGACATAGTAAAATAGAATGCCTCTCTGTTGTTTTATACGGCAAAACACAAAACAAGTAATCTATTGGGCGAATACTTTATATTGAATGAAGCTGGAAAAAGTAAATGTCTGCAAAGCTTTATTCAAGAGCATTTTCAAGCAATGAACATAATGTTAAATGTTTATGCAGAATGTTTATAGCTATGATGTGGATCATTTCATTCAGATTATCTGATGGTGTGGATTGTAGAAAAAGCCTTACCTGCTAGCTTAATGATTTCTGCTATCCAGTATACCTTGGTGGAGAGATTGGTGTCAGAGTTGAGCACTTCAATCCTAACACCTTCCTCTACGTCTCCCCAGCACGTCCCCATAGGGGCCTGAAACACAGTAGCGGCAGTCAAGTTACACAGATAACAAAGAAACAGATTTGTCAGTTTCAAATCAGCTTTAGTTTTTACTTACATGCTTGAAGCAGCTGACTGGAGCTCCGACTGTGTTATTGCTACAGATGTACCGACCCCAGTCAAAGCTCTCTGCGGGGACCACTGGCAGAAACAAGAAGAGTGTAAAGCTGGAGTATGTTTTAACGTGGAATCACTTTTATCTTATTAATAAGTATGAATTACAACATACCAGCTTTTGATTTTGCCTGGTTCTGTTGACTTGCTTGGTACTGGGCGTAAGCTGCCAATTTTGCCACGAGAGGCTGTTTCTGTAAGACTTTTGCCTTTTTCGTTGGTGGTTTGCCCTTTCAAAATAAAGCAGACATAATAAATGCAGTAACTATATATTATTAATCTCAATCCTCAATAAATTTGTTATAAAAAATACATTTTGAAGCATTTACCTGTAGTCTAGCCAAGATGCTAGCTTTTTTGGAATTAGAGGAATAACTCCTCGAACACGACACACTGCAGAAACGCTTGGTTTTGGAGTAAAAAGCATCTCGTACTCCGACCATCCCACACATCTCACAAGTGGCTGTGAAGAAGAGTCCACAAAACAGAAGCAAGATCTGTTAAAAATCACCAACCTAGTACATGATGGCCAATTCTTTGTCTCTTATGCATGGGATAATATTCCAAAGATCCACACAAACTGTAAGTTCCAAACATATTTCTGTGCACTCACCCATTCCAGTCTTGCCATCGGGGTAAGTGTAGATTTGACCATTGTTCTTGATGATGGGAAGGCTGACAGGGATGGAAGGTGCCACCTCATCCTCACTGTCCTCTGAACTAGAGCTGCTGGTTGACTCTTCACTGCAGCTGTCATACCCATCAAACATCCCGAAAGAGTCTCTCCGCTTACGCTCTGAACGTGGGGTGCGTTCAGCCTTCACAGTTGAGAAAAAGACAAAGGCATCTGAATTAGTAACATATTTAAATGACTCCGATACTGCCCGAAAATGCCAGATCGGGCATCGGCGAGTACGCAAATCTATATGTCGATACGATTCCACGTTTTTAAAGTATTTTAGTTTTAACCAGATAAAACTGCAATTTCTTTTCCTGAATTCACATCTTCTTTGCTGCTCCAAAACAGCAGCTGCACTGTACTGTACTGCCACTGGCAAGTATTGTTCTTGGAGCAGTGAAGAAGTGATGTCTGGCAGTGCAGTGTTAGCCAGAGCTCACTAAAATGTCAGCAATGTGACAATATTTCACACTGGAAAGTTCCACAAGTAAAACAGTGATGTGTACCATGTACAAGTTGTAAGCTGTTTAAGGAAATTGTTTTTTTTATGCCTAAATGTATTCATTTGTGTTCTTTTTTAGATATGACTGAAAAAGTAAACAATAAAAATGCCATTAATTCTCTGTTTGTTTTTCCTGAGCCAGGCCATAAAACATGATAGCAATCATCACTTCGATACAGGGTTAGTAGCATACAGCCGTTGCATGAGTTGTTATCAACCACACTGGTATCAGATCAAACTCAGTATCGGCTGATACACAGGTATTTTAATCTGTGTCAAGAACGGAGAAATGATATAACTGCCACTAAACATGTATTCACTTGATGATCATTATCTGCAGTATGCACTTAATTATTCAGTTTATAAAATATAACTGAGGAGCAAAATGGCCCTTCCTTTATCCAAATTCAAGGTGTCATCTTAAAATGTCTGATCGAGTCCATAGATGTTCAGTTCACGGTATCATCAGAGAAGACAACACAATAAAACAGCACATATTTGCATTAAAGCTAGGGCAGTGACTTGTTGGTCTTTTTTTTTTCTTCTTCTTTAAAATTCATTGTTAAAAACTAACATTCAATTGCCAAAGTTGTTGCACATTCATTTTGCTAATCAATTAAGAATTTAAGATTGAGCCCTGGTGTAAAATGATAGCAGCACGGTACTTGCTCGACCTTTGCATAATTTAGTATTTCTAAAAGATCATCTGCTGTGAGGTCTGACCTGGGAAGGACAACTAGAAATGACTATGGATTCAAATGCGAGCGTGAACACTGCGATGAGAACGTGAACATTCAATATGTGCTGGCTGACAGCACTGAGATATTTATTGTTGTCACAGCCTGTTTACTTCCTCCTTCCAGCATCACAGGTGACATCCCAGCTAACTACGCTAATATTTATTATTTTAACAGGAACGACACTGAAATAAGAATGAAAAAAAACTCTTCCGGCCAGTAAAGAAACTCTGAGCGAAAACTGAAAGGTACAAAACAGAAGAGATAACCAAAATACAAGCTAAACTAGGGGGCGGCCCTACTCGAAATAGCTCTCAATGCTAGCTGGCGTTAGCACAGCTCGCTAGCGGAAATATGTTTTTTCAGTTTCTGTTCACACACGCACGCCGCACTTTTCGTTCACAATGCATATTCACATTCGTGCACGTGTAGTTTAAATCAAGGTGGGGTCGCTTCATTTCTATCGCTGTGGAGAGCTGAGTAATATTTCACTCTAGGCGTCCACCAGCTAGCTGCGATATCCAGATAACAACAAAGGAGGAGCGTTAGCTTTAGCAAATCCCCAGTAATCGGAGGCTCGCGGCCCTAAAACGATGCTAATTCACTCACCAGGTCCCGTGTGTCTTCCATCAGCCCTTCATATAGAGAAGCTGCTAGTTCACTGTGCTCCCGTGCTGACACAACTCCCCACGCGAGGGATGAGTTCAGTCTTTGAAATAGCAACAACTATATAAATACTACCAGGCAGGGTATCAACAAATTACTCTGCCGCTTCTGCGCATGTGCGAGCGTAACCCGCTTCCACGCGATTGGCCCGTTCGGAATGGAGGTCAGCCACCACTACAGAAACAAAACAGTGGAGTCCGCGATGGGAATGAATGAATGGCCTCTTCCGTTTCAAGGTGCGAAGCAAGAACAGATCAGAGTCCAAGTTCTTTGTATCACTTCCTGTGTCAACCCATCACCAGTGGAAACAGAGGGATGGTTCTTTATACCACCTGTTGTTCCTGGAAATCAACTGTCTCTGCAGATTGTACTGTTAAAGTTCCATTTATCACAAGGTCATAATGAAGACAGTGTGTGAACTGTCTTTAAGCACACTCTTCGTTGAGTGATTTGTCGAAACACACATTTAAAGCACGATCACCACTTCAAAGTAAAAGGCAGACAATTCTATGACTTAAAATAAATCCTTTATAATATATAATGCAATCTATTACACCTTCAGTTCTGGGCTGATGATACAGTAGATGTCACATTTCCACACGAGAAAATGGGCCACATTCAATACTGTGCGTTTTCATTTAAATGTAACTTGCAGCCTAATATATAGACAATTAAATCCTTTGCAAAAAACAGAAGAGAAAAAAAAAAAACAGCTGCCCTCAGTTTCCTCTGACTTGTATCACAGTGCTTTTCACAAATAATACTGATATTGGTTTTGTGCCTGTCTTCATTTAAACACAAACTAGTAATGACACATTTAAGCAAAGCTAAATAAGGTGCAACAGAACAGCACAAAAAGGCAAAACTAAGAATTAATTGTGTCCTGACGAAACACCAATAAAGTGAATATGGCTGGAACAAGTGCTGCACGCTTGTCACGTCGGTAAGGCTCCAGAAGAAGAAGTTATGAGGTCGGGTCAGACAAGGAATCCCCTTCATCTCACTAGAACTGGTGCAGAGGAATGGATGGCCAGTGCTGGAAGATTGAAAGTGGGGTTATGACTTTGATAGATATAATGGTTCAAACATTCATTCTCCAGAGAATATTTGATTTTTAATCAGGAAACAACACCTTGATATGTCGGTATGTCTTTGGTCTCAGAGCAGCTCGTCATCTAGGACATCATCAACACTTCCTGAGATTGAGGCAACTTCTGTGGCACAAAAAGAAAACCTCAGTTCCTGGTCAATCAGCCATGATCCTGCAAACAACTTCAACAACCAGACTATCTTTTTTTTTTACCGCAGTGCAGACGGCTGACAGAGAATCCAAATGTAATAACCTCAAGATAAGTGAGGTCCATCTAATTTGACAGCACATTTTCAAATGATCTGGATATTAAAATTACTTTTTTTTTTAGGTAAAGACCATGCATCTGTAGTATCAAGCATCAAAAACCATCAAGTACTGCTCAGACTCTCTATCTCTTTATTCATTCTTTGATTAAATACTTGAAAAAGTTTTTTGCCTCGTGGGGACAGAACTTCACAACATGGTATTTTGACCTTGTCAATTGATACGTGTAACGTCTAACCACATTTTGCTCTTTCGGCCCTTTAGCTGCTAATTGCTCCACTTCATTCACCAGCCAGTCATTAGCTTTGTCTCAGTAAGTTTCTTTTCTTTTTTGCTTGCTGGAATCAGGTTAAGTGAGAACCATGAGACTGAACTAAACAATGAAATGAAAATGAAATGCTCTGTAGTAGGGCTGCAACTAACGATTCATTTGACACTCGATCAATCAATTGTTAATTGGATAAATGACAAAAGCTACATTTGACCCTTTCCAGCAGTTAAATCAAAAAGCAAATTCATCTCTGTGCACAGTGCTGTTTCTATATGTATTAAAGACATCCGCAACCTAATTATGATGATGATAGATCCAGTTTCAGGGTCTCTACAATATAATTCTGACTAATCATAATCCAAGTATAAGATGTGTTACGTGCTGTGATGTGTTTTCTCTCTGCTCTCTCTCCCCAGTCTCCCTTTTCCCTGCAGCTGCAGTTTGAGTGTGCAAGTCTGGGCACAATCACCAATCAAGGCCACGGTGGTTAAGAGGCAGAGAGAATCAGACACCCAGCCCCAGTGGGCCCAAGGACAGCATTTGAGCTGAGTGTGTGTTAACTTTGGCGATCTCTTTCATGCATGCTGTTGTTGTTGTTAGCGTGACCATTTAGTTTCTGTTAGGTTCTGGTGAGTTAAATTATTAATGCTGGTTTGTCGGTGTCGCTTTCCTTTTTAGAACGTTGAGTTGTTAATAAATTACTCTTTTGTACATTAATAAAAGGCCATGTTTATCTTTCCCTGGGTTATTTATATTGTTACTCCCCTCATCCCTGGACTTAAATTGGAGAATGTAACAGATGTCTTCAATTCACCTAAATTCAAGATCCTTGAAATAAGTTTCAACTAGTCAGTATGGTGTTGTGGATTCAATGAACTCTAGTTATCACCAGTTAGAATTAAATTGTAGATAACTGAAACTAAAATAACATAATATGAACAATTCAAGTGAATTGTATATCTATACTGAGAAACCCCACACAAGAGGATTTTAAACAGGATAAACGATATTGTTTTGAAAGTCAGAATGATGTTACGTATAGCTTATAAAACATTTTTTACTAGTCACAGTAAAAGTACTCGAACTGATGTTAGTCGATGATAGTCAAACTTGGTGAAGAAAAGTCAGTGTGACGGAAGGTGTCTCATCAGTCTCTGTCACTCACAGCCGAACAGCTGAACTGAGCTGAATTCATCTCTGTATTTACACAAAACTTTGGACTGCAACATCTCCCAGCAGATTATTTTTGTGTTTTAGAAAATAACCGCTGTGGAGCAATCACAAAATTCAGTTTTGTGTTTTTGTTTCACTGCCTTGTGTTAACTTTCTGCGCTCGCTCTCTTCATTCAGCTTACAGGTCTCTCGACCTACCCCCCGGTTGAGCCTCAGAAGCGACAGTTTTTAAAAGAGTGTTGATATTTTTCATTAAATCCTCAAAGAAAACTTGTACAAAGCTGATTTCACAGCAGCACATCACTTCAGTAAAGTTTTATTTCAGTGTGAACTGAAGATGTTTAAGATTCACCAGTAAATGGAGAGAAGGGGAAGAAGAAGCAGAAGAAGAATGGCTCCAACATCCTCTCTTATACATACCACAGTGATGTGCTGTTGTTGCAGCCCTACTCTGTAGAGTTGAGGAGGACTAGAGAGTTGGTAAATAAAGGGTTTGTTACTAAGAGAGATTCTTTTCCTTTAGATATTCATTTGACAAAAATATTGTTTTGTGTAACTACCAATGTATTGACAACCATACAAAGACTCGTGCAATTCCAAGTATGCTTTTAATAACAAAGTTGAGGGAAACGATGACACCAACTACGACCTGGTGACTGGGGCCTTCCTGTCATCGCTCAACTGACACTATTAAAATATAAATAAAGGAGTTCAAAATCAGCATTTGTCTGTGCCTGTGTAGTTTTGCTCCATTTGTTGTGAGGGGTAATGGAAACTGCAATCAGTGTTCCACATTTTTGTTAAACTTCTCTGTTTCTCTGAGGCGAACGGTCCGTTTCCTCTTCTGCTTTTATGTAATACACTTAACCTGCTGACATCCTACAAACTGCCATTTTATCTTTATCTATCCTTCCAGCTCAATTTAGGTTAGGTCACTATATGTCCCATTTTTTTTATTATCTTTACTACTGCAGTGAGTATGTGGTGACAGTGGCCTGTTATTTAGTCCCCAGTTGACCTTGCTCCCCATCATCGGGTAGATGACGTAACTGTCTCCTTATTAGAGTCCGTACTCACCTGACAAGCTGATACAGGAGAGACTAAGCTCTGACGACGCTCCTATCACATCATCCTGTGAGACAAAAAGAAATGAAGCTGTCAAAGCAGCTGGAGGATATATTTTAACTCCTCAGTCAATGACAGGATCAATATTGAAGCCTCTGTCCCCCGGCCTTCTGATATAATTGATATGTCACTTTGACAAAAATCTCATGGTTTTCATTTCTAATAATGATGGCTCAGTTGTCATCTCATTGACAAATTACCCTTTTGGACCAATGATTCCAAGAACTATTGAACCAGAGGAAAATATATTAACCCGATTCTAAGGTTAAGGTTTGTCTTCCTGATAATTTCATGATTTAGAATGAACAACTTACACTGATCACATAATTATATCAGAATTGGATCTGAAGGATAAGACCCTTTTCTGTCTGACAAGAATAAATTCTGTGATTATCTTACTCTTTGCCATAAAATGAGACTTTAAAGATATTTGTAATGGACATTAAATACTGACCTCAGGTTAAATACAACACTACAAAACACAGAGTACAATTTACAACGCAGTTTCAGTCACTAATAAGAATTCACTTGGTTTAGCGGCTCACCAGCATCCTCTGCAGGCAGCCCAGATTGTCACCCTCAGTCTTTCCATTCACCACCTCCTGGAAGCTGACAGCATGGTCCTGCCGAATCAGCTCCTCCCCTATATCTACAGTCTAGGATGGACGGTATTTTTTATTTTTGTTTTTACACGGTGTACGAAAAAAAAGACAGGGTGAGAGACTTTCCAAACAAATAAACACAGGTATGACCAGTAATAAAAAGCGATCTGACCTTGCCCTCACTGTTGACAAAGAGCTTAACACTGGGCCAGGAGGACAGCTCAGAGTGAGAGTAGCTGCACAGTTTGGCCTGCAGGGGTTTCCAGGAAGCACAGTAAGTCAGTTGATCGAACTCATCGAGGGCAGCCTCAGTCCATGTCTCCCCTAAACAACAACAACAACAGGGGCGGATCAGAAAATATATTTTAAAAAAGTTTGGACTTTCACTTGAAATTCAGAATCATGCCTTTTATAAACTTGAATAAATGTATTATACTTATTCACATGCCTGTAGGATGAAGGTGCTGTATTAAGATGATGGTTTTACCTTTTGGTCTCACTCCTGCTAAGTTGCACTCAATAGCTTGGAAAGGTAAGCTGAGGAAATCACTCCTGAAAGGTTAATGTAGCAAAAGCAAAAGCGGTTAATAATTTAGCTCTTGCAATTTTCTCTGATGCCATGAACAATAATGTGCTCTCTGCAGCTGCATTATAGAACATCAGAACCCTCACTGCTGCTAGTGTGTGTACACAGTTAT